CGGGCGCTAATGCGGCAGGCAAAGCTCCCGCCGATCTACTGGACCTACGCGATGCACCACGCCGTGCGGGTGCACAACCTGCTGTCAACCACCGCAATCACCGGCAACTCCTCGCCGCACGTGAAATGGACGGGAAGAAAGGGGGACACCTCCATGCTCCGCGTCTGGGGCTGCATGGTTCAATACCGACCGCCAACATCAACCATCGGGAAGTTCAAAAGCCGCGCGCGCTGGGGAATCCATCTCGGTATCAGCCACGAACACAAGGCGTGGATCATCCTGGATCTCCTAAGCCAGAAAATCAAGAATGCGCGCGATGTCATCTTCTACGAGCGACTGTTTCTGCAACAATTTCGTGACGACGAGCAGACGAATGCAAACCGCGTCTACGCCAACAAGGGCCACAGCTACGCCTCACCTGAGGACGAAGCAGCAGCAGCAATTCTGGAGCAGGATCCCAGAGGCGAGTTCACAAGGGGCGATCGCCGCGACGACGACGACGACGACGACGATGATTCAGGTGAAGAAGGAACAGGCGCAACAGGAGGAGGTGCAGCAGGAGGAAGCAGAAGCGGCGGAGACACAGCACCGCCAGCACCGCCTGAACCAGAAAGCGATGATGACGACGTGCAGGAAGTCGTCACTCAACATCGCCACGACAGCACTGTCACCGGTCTCCAGCTACTTGGACTACACGCTGCCATCTCCACTGCTCCGCGCATCATCGAACCTAAGAACCCACGGCAAGCTCTCACAGGCCCACACAGCAAGGAGTGGCGCGAAGCAATGGATGCGGAAATCCGGGCACTCGAGTCGCGCGACACCTGGGTGCTCGTCGACCGTGCAGCAGTAAAGGGGAGAAGGATTCTCTCCGGCAAATGGGTCTTCCGAGTGAAGACAGGAGCCGACGGAAGGATTGAGCGATTCAAGGCACGCTGGGTGGTACGCAGCTACGATCAAAGGCACGGGATTGATTTTGACCAGACATTTGCACCGGTCAGCCGTCACACGTCCGTCAGAATTCTCCTCGCCATCACAGCCGCACGACACCTACCACTCCGGCAGATCGATGTGAAGAATGCGTTCCTGTACGCATTAGTGGACGCCGTGATCTACGTGGAACAGCCACACACTTACGGCGACGGAGACCCACGCGTCTGTCAGCTACGCAAGTCCCTCTATGGGATCAAACAGGCACCGAGACTCTGGCAGCAGTACCTGCACAACATACTGCTTGAAATCGGGTTCAAGCAGCTGCCTCACGATCCTGGAATGTATCGCCGCGATTTCCGCGGCGAATACATCCTCCTCACGGTCTACATCGACGACCTTCTCTACACAGGCTCAAGCAACGAACTGCTCGAGCAGTTTGAGAGAAGTGTCAGAATGTCATTGTTCTCTAGCCTGCAGTGGGGTACTCTATAGGGAGTACAACCCCTTAGGGTTTCCTATATGTATCCTGCTGCTTTCTAGTGAACCCCTTCTTCTTTTGCCTAAACTTCTCTTGCCTAGCTAGGACTTACCTAGCTATGGCTCCTAACTCTACCTACTATTTTCACATGGTATCAGAGCAGGTCGATCCCCTTGGGTCGATCCTGTGGGTGGGCTCACCACCTCACTGCTTCCGCTGCTACTGCTACTCTCTGTGTCGCACGCCCCGTGGCGTGCGACGGATTTTTCATCCCGCCGCGCGCTCGGAGCGTGCGGCGGTTTTCTGCCCGCCGTGCGCCCCGAGGCGCGCGGCGGTTTTCTGCCCGCCGTGCGCCCCGAGGCGCGCGGCGGTTGTCTGCCCGCCGTGCGCCCCGAGGCGCGCGGCGGGTTTCTGCCCCGTCACTCCGCGCGTCGCTCCCGGGAGGCGCTGCGACGGGCGACGGGGACCCGCGCGTCGCCCCCCGTCGCCCGTCGTGGCCTGCGCGCGGCTCGTACAGCCTGCGCGCTGCCCGTACGGGCTGCGCCAGGCCCGCGCGCGGCCCGTACGGGCTGCGCCAGGCCCGCGCGCGGCTCGGGCCGCCTGCGCGCGGTTCGGGCGGCTGTGCCAGGCCCGTGGGCGGCCCGTTCTTCGCTGCCCCTGCGCTGCCCGCTGTCCCCCGTGCTTCTGATGGCGCCCCACCCCTGCTGCTGCCCGTTCTCCTGAATTAGGGTTTGGGGGTGGGGGGTATGGGGGTGCAGCTTCTGTGTGCCGTCCCCTGCTCCTCCTCCTCCTCCGTCTCCCAGTGCTGCAGCTGCCGCTGAGGGGGGTGGACCTGTTGGAGCCGTCGGAGTGGTACTAAGGGGGGTGAAGGGGGAGTGGAGCTAGGGGTGAAGCAGGGGGTGTGTGTCAGGGGGAGTGGGACTGTTTGGGGAGGTTGAACTGAGGTTGCCGTCGTGTCGCCAGCAGCACCTGTAGTCCGGGGAGTTGCTCCGGTAGCCCAGTCGCAGCCAGCTGTGCCAGTCGCCCGTGGGTCCGTTGCTCGTCTGCCGCTACTTTTAGCCGCGGAGCCAGTTACTCCAGTAGTCCGGAGCGTTGTTCCGGTAGCCGCTGTGCCAGTGTGACTCCTGTTGCCCGTGTGTCTGCAGCTTCAGCCGTCGCCTCCTATCTCCTCTCCTCTCACTCTCGCCTCCTCCTCCTCACTTGCCCTCTGCGATAACCTCTAGCTTTGCTCATAACTGTGAACTTTAAACTATTGCTTCTTGTACTTGTGCTCAGAATGTGTGGTGACATTGTGATCCACCCTGAGCTTGTTCTGCTTTGCTTGCTCTGCTGATTACACCCCACTTTGGCTATGGGGGTGTGTCAGAATGTCATTGTTCTCTAGCCTGCAGTGGGGTACTCTATAGGGAGTACAACCCCTTAGGGTTTCCTATATGTATCCTGCTGCTTTCTAGTGAACCCCTTCTTCTTTTGCCTAAACTTCTCTTGCCTAGCTAGGACTTACCTAGCTATGGCTCCTAACTCTACCTACTATTTTCACAAGAAGCCTCGCAGGGCGCGTCGACATCACCTGCAATCATGACGTGAAGCAGTTTCTCGGACTCAATATCACCTACTCGCCGGAAGCCATTCATCTCTCAGCAGCGAAGTATGCGGAGGAGCTTAGCAAGCGCTTCATCATTGCGCCTGCACCACTCTCCACCCCTTACCGCACTCCAGGACCCAACCACAAGCCTGACAACAAAGCCCTGTCCCCTGCTGGGCTTCACACTTACCAGCAGCAGTTGGGATGCCTGCTTTTCGCATCTGTTACCTGCAGGCCCGACCTCTCCTACATTGCGAGCCAGTTGGCTCAGTACTCACGCAAACCAACGGCTGAGAATCTCTCAGATCTTCAGCGAGCCCTTCAATTCTTCATCTCCACGCCCAATGTCGGGCTCAGTTATTCCACCATCCCAACCACATCCTTCAGTCTCGTCGGCTACGTGGATGCCGATCACGCCGCTGACCCTGACAATCGACGGTCCAGGACAGGGTTCCTCTTCTGCCTCGAGCCCAGCGGCCCCATCTCCTGGAACTCTCAGAAGCAGGAGTTGGTTGCCCTGTCATCGGCGGAAGCTGAATTTATCGCAGCAACAGCAGCTGTTCGCGAAGGTCTCTACCTTCAGGAACTGCTGCAGGAAGCAAAAATTCCGGCCTCAACGAACTTTCGCCTGCACTGCGACAATCAGAGCGCGATCAGGATCGCGAACAAACCTGGCTTCGTCAACCGCACCAAGCACATCGCACTGCGGTACTTCTTCGTCAAGGACGAAGTTGACAAAGGCAAAGTTGACCTGACATACCGCCCAACCGGTGACATGGCAGCAGACTTTCTCACGAAACGACTGCCACGCCAGCAGTATCAGCACTGCTCCGAACTCAGCAGCGTGGTCAAGCAGGTCAAGTCGAGCTACGGCCAGGAGTGAAGGGGGGTGTTACGAATAGTAATACTTAAATATTACTGTGCACTCCTCACCGTAGCAAAGCCGAAGCACGCACTATCGAGAGTGAAGACGAAAAGGTAGAAGAAAGGCGAAGGGACAGACGGTTACGAGGAGCATCTGGACCGTCGGGCAGACAGCATCAGGCAGCAGCAGTGGCGAGGATTCTGCCCGAACAGTTACGTAACCACTCGGAGTCGCACGGTTGGATTTCGCTGCAATAAGGGAATGTACCCCTTAGAGTACATGGCTAGTTAGGTCGTTTCGAATTCCCCTGTACTCATATTTATATTCCTTGTACTGCACGTGTTTATCATCTCAAAGCATTTTACATTCACTCTGCTATTGAGGTCAAGGGCCCACCAACATCACTTCTCTGCGTGCGAACCTTCCTGAGTAGATCCTAGGCCACGATCAACTACTGATCGCAGCATGTTTTAATCATCTCAAGCATTTTACATTCACTCTGCTATTGAGGTCAAGGGCCCACTACTACTAGACTAGAAGTGCGTGAACCTTCGTGAGGTGATCCTGGTTACGATCTACTTCTGATCGCAACAAATTGCAACGTGAATCGAGTCAAGGGTTTTAATTTTGTAACCAGGTTAACTTGTCTGATGACGGGCAACCGTTGTTGTTTATGTACTGTAGATGTTTTTCTTCCTCAACTTGGTGACTGTACCCTGAAATCGGCACAATGGTCAATTTAGTCACTCACGGGCAAAACGTTCGCGAGTGACTAAATTTCTAATTGCGAGGAGCAAATGTTTTGTGATAGGCTGAGCATCGACTGTACTGCTGTCAATCCGAAGGGGGATTTCGGAAGGAAATTTCCAAGAAACTTCCTCTCGATAAGGTCAAGATCAGGGACCACAAACTCGATACCCTAATAAGTCAGGATCCACTAACAGGCGAGTCTGTTACACTATACTCTAAATCAGGGATATGAAAACTAATACTCTGATTTGAACAGGGTTGAGAACTCAGTAATTCTGAAATCTCAGTCTCCGCAAAGTGGAAAGCCTGAAATCACCCTGAAATCAGGGTAATTACCCTGATAAAATCAGCCATGCTTCCAACTTTGATGACTTATCCAGAGACTGTAGTTAATAAGGACGAAACTTGCGTGCGTCCCGAAGCTTGGCAATGCGCTTGCGGTCGCTGTCAAACTTCTTCTGAAGCTCCATCAGCTCTGCAGAAGAAGAAAGAAAGTACAAAGACCACGAAGAAGAAGAAAAGTACATAGAAAGAAAGAAAGAAAACAACCTATGAAGTGGCTGAGGGACTGACCATGCCAAAGGCGGAGGCGAAGATACAAGGTCTCCAATTCCTAAACGAGACACATTTGGCGAGCAACAGTGGGGCGAGAAATGAAGAAACCTAAAGAACACACAAGAAAGTGATGATGTGTTGAATGAAGTCGTGTATGCAATATTGAATATATGTAACAGCTTTTCGGTATCATGCCTGTCCTTGCTTCGCTCACCTTGTCGTCTCGCCTCTCTGTGCTGGAAGCGGTAGAACTTAAGCGCTTCAGCCGCTGCAGCCTGCTGCTTCTTCTGCTTCTGCTGCAGCTTCACTGCGAGGACCTGAGCGCGCGCCTTGGAGATCACACCCATGGAGACGCCCGAAGAGGGGTCGCGGTTGCGGCGAGACGCAGACGACGAACGCACGACAGTCCACCCGTCGTCTTCCTGTGACCGGAGAGCTCTCTCCTCTGCCTCACGGCGCTCCTGAAGCACAGGACAGACGGGAAGTGGGAAGGGGGGAAAGAGGGTGAGAGGGTAAGATTGAAAAGGGGAAAGGAGAAACAGGGAAACCGGGAAAGGGGAGGGGGATAAAAGAAGGACGGAAAGACGAAAGAGGGAAGGTGGGAAAGAGGGTATGAGGAAGAGGAAATGGGAGAAAGAAGTTCAGGGTTGCATTGGGGAAAATGCAGGACAAACATAGGGGAGGAAAATCGGAAACAGATGATGGCTGGAGAGAAGAGAGAAACAGTAAATCCCTTGCAACAAACTGCACTGAGAGAGTGGTGAGTGCAAAGTGGAGCGCCGGGGGGAGGGGGGGGGGGGTAGAGAGGCATGGTGTGCCAAGGGACAAAGGAGGGGGGGAACGGGGGGACAGGGCATGCGCAGCGAGAAAATGGGGTGAGCGAGTATGGCGCTGCTGCGGCTATGGTTGCTCCCTGAATTGTGACACTGGCCGCGACAAGGGTTGCCAAGGGCTGTGACCAAGGCAGTGACACAGCTACAGCTTCATGTGAGAAGGACAAGCAGGCTCTCATCACGCACCCTCTCAAGCCTGTCCTCATACTCGCTGATGTAAGCATCTGCCTCTGCCTGCAGATGCGCCAATCCTGGCCGCTCATCTGCATATGCGTTCAGCCATCCTGTGGGGGAGAGCGGTTGAAGGCATACGCGTGGAGAGGAGATTTGGAGAGAAAGCGGTTGAATGCGAGAGAGGGGTATAGAGAGAGGAGAGTGACATGTCAGGTGGAACAAGAGGAGAAAGGGACATGCTGAGAGGTGGCTGGGAACGTTCCACCCGCTGTCGGCAGAGAAAGCTGCCTGCTGTGAGCAATGCCGATGTGGTGTGACGGGATGTGATGTGGTTGTGGTGTGCAGGCAGCGAAGGAAGATAAGGAAAGCAGAGGCCGATGTGCCTCTCGAAGAACAGACTGCAGTGTGCATATAAAGTGTTCCCACCTTCCATCCCCCACGCAGGCCACAGCGGCTGCTGCGCCTCCTCCCCCTCCGCCTGCCCCTTCCCCTTTCCCTCCCCGTCCCCGTCCGCCTCCCCCCCCTGCATTGGCGAATCGGGATCCGTAATCGTCGCCTTGGCCTGGGCCTTGGCTTTAAGAGACGCCTTGGAGGATGCGGATAGCGACGCGGACTTCAAGAGGCGTCGGAGGGACTCCGGCCGCGCGAAGACAACAACAGCAGAAGGAGCGGCGGAGGGCGCGGAGGAGGAATGGTGCAACCTGGCAGCAAATGCGGCCATGATGTGAATGAGGTTGGATGAAGAGAGGGAGAGATAAAAGGGTAGGAAGAATCGGGAAATAGCACAGCAACCACAACCACAACCAAGACCACAGCAACTACAAGCGCGGCTCGACCTCCTCCTTCCCCCAAACCCCTCAAGACCCCTCTTCCCAAAACCCCCCTCCCACCTTTCCACTTACGCCCTCTCCCCTCTGCGCTTCCACCACCTCCCCGCAAAGCCCGGGTGATTCACCTGCTGCCGTCCGTGTCGTCGCCTTCCACAATCACCCGGGATACATCGCCAAACTTCGCAAACATTGCACGCAGCTTTCGCTCGTTCCGCCAGCGGCACGGCAGGCCGTGCACCTCCAGAGCCCGGCCAGTCTCGCTTCCCCTACCAGACCCTTCCGCTTCTTTCGCCTCCTCCCCCTCCGCTCCCCACTTCGCCTCCCCATTCCCGTCCGCCCTCTCTCCCTCCGCGCCGGCGCCTTCACTCTCGCTGGAAGGTCCTGCAATAAAGGACGAAGTCGCGGCTTTACGAACAAGGAGCACTCGATCGTATGGTCTCGGTTTTTCCACGTGGATGAAAAGCTCTATAAGAGGGTTCGACGGCGCGGATGCTCCCACATGACCCTCGGGAGGCGTTGCTTCAGGCTTCGGTTTGGAGGAGTTTGTTACGGCCATGGCGAGTGGCGCGATGATGGGAAAACGGCGAGCTAGCGTTGTGTGCGTGTCAACCTCGCCAGACGCTCTGGAGCCTCTTTTCGGGAACCTTAGGTCTGTTCCAGGGTTTTGATTATGTGGCTTTATGACCACAGAATGTCCCAAAGCACACTGATTTGCTTTTAGTAGCAATTGCGAATGCACTAGCGCGTACAATGCATTTTTTGTAACGCTTGGCTTCAGCAAATTTCTAGTGTATAGCTGCAATTACCCAAATGCGCCCAAGCTGGTTGTTGCCATCTTCTCTCAAAGGGATGTGGCCATCAAAGTGCGTCAACCATTCCTCTATATTTTTTGTTCGTTGGTAAACAAACATCCATATTGTAAGCTATTTTCTAACCTTTCTATTCAAGCAGGAGGCATGTAACAAACCCTGCTGAAATACTTCTGGTATGAGCCTTCTATAGCAGTTGATATACTCGGTGTATGATAGATGTCTGAACCATGCACAGGGAACGGGTCTTGACGCGGATTTCGGGATATTCGAGGTCTGGGTGGTGTGGTGGTGGCCTGAAGATACTGTACCAATGGGCCCGTCAAGTCATGGCGTGTGGGGTGGGGGGAACCTCACTGTAACGGATAGTATGTCTGCCTCATTTGTTGCCTCGAGAGATTTCGAGCCTCTGCTGCTCTGGCTCTCACGTGTAAATATTGGCGAAGGGAGCCCCTCCTACCTTTTCCGCCTGCAGTGTGGAGGGTACGAGATTGGAGGTACGGGTGGACGGAGGAGATTCAAGTCCAGTTTTCAATCTCCAACCAAACCCCTTCAAAATCGACCAGCTGGGAGGAGCTGGATAGGCTTCACGCATCTGCTCCGTCCACTTTTGCCAGACGGGCACCCATGCAAACGCCACCGTGGAAGTCGGGGGTCCTCAGAAGCTTCTCCATGCCACCCATGTCAATCAGAAAACGCTTTGGGGCGTGTCACAAGAATCTGTTTGCAGTTGATGCAATAGGTGATCGGGAAATGTTTCAAATCGGTGATGGGAGGAGAGCGTTTTGAACCGCACAGAAGCGTACTAGACCTAGTTTTTCCATCCACATGTGAGATGTCTCGGTTCACCTTTCCATCACAGCAAGGTTCCTCAAATCTCCTTTCTCCGTCACACACAAGTATGTAGGCTACTTCCCTAATTTTAGGTATCGTCATTGGTAGTATCTCAGAAAATCGACGATCTGATATACATTCCAAATTAAGACCACACAATATTTCTCTCTTAGTAGACAGCTTTTTATTAGAGTTTAGATCTGCTGTGGACTTTCTGCATGTTGTGGTCTTGCCCTGGCGGAGCACCTCGTTCCCCTAAGTGCCATCATGGCCTTTCATTCATCCGACCTATCCACTTGAATCTGTACCGTTTTTGTTGTCCGTGTAAGTCTGTTTCGCGTTAGCTCTTTAGCACATTACATCTTACTCCGTAGGCTTTATCCATAATTTTTTTCCAGGCCACGACGGACTAGCGGCTTACACCGTGTTTTCATTTCGCTACTATCGCTCTCAAGATTTCCGAGCTCAGTAGTTGGCTTATTTTACGGGCTGAAGAAGTCGCCGCAAGGTTAGCGACTGTGAGCAGCTCACTTCCCGCTGGACGACTGGTGGAGGGAGAAGAAAGAGCAGGAAAACGGCGGAACCAAAAACGAATCCTCGTAGCGGATAATACCGAAGGATCAAAGGCTGAAGTTTATCTGAGCCCGAACCAGGAGACTTGGTTTAGGTCACCAACTCGTCCATCAAGTTCCGTCTGCAGCGGGCCAAAGCTCTATGGCAGCCCCAACCAGCACGGCAGCAACCGCGAATGGAAGTATAGGCCGATCATCTTCCTCGCCGCAGTTCCAGTCGCCGAGCTCATCCAATCCCCTTCCCATCGCACCAGCGCCTGTTCCTCAGCCCATGATGCAACCTTCACCGCTCATGCCGTATCCACAATCCTCCGGCCCCGTGCACATGACGCCGCAAGGTTCGTTAATGGCGAATGGTAGACGGGCGGTGGGAATAGAGAAGGTACGGAGAGCGCCAGGCATTGTAAGTCGTTTTCGGTGAAAGAGCTGGGAGTACAAGCAGGTGACGGTGACTGTGAGAGGACAATGCGGAAAAGGAAGGGGGGCTGGATTACAGTAACGCTTTCTCTTTAAAATGGAAGAGCCAGCGACTAGCGCTGAGTTTTGAGGAGATATCTCTCATCGGTTGCTTGTAAGGTATTGTACGTGGGTCAGTGCCCCCCCTGATGTCTTGCTAATTCCGTTGCTAACTCCCTCTTGGTATGCCCCCCCGCCTTGTCGCCCCGGATCTGGTGGCAATGTCCGAGCGTTATAACGCGTACCATTCCTGTCGCCCTCATCCGTCTCCTCTTGCTCCGTCCTTTTGCCGTTCTTCGGCTTGCGTGGTTGCCATGCGCGCTTGCCCTGCGTGCAGCGGCGCAGAGTCAGATAGTGTGTACAGGATGCCGCACGCTACTCGTGTATCCTAATAACGCGTCCAACGTGCGCTGCGCGCTCTGTAGCACCATCACGCCCGTGCCACCCGCTGGTAAGCCCGTCCTCACTCCTTCCCTCTTTCCCTACGTCCTCCCCTACAGCGCCTGCGTCTTTCGTTCCACCCTTGCGTTGACGCCTCCTTCCTTCCCTCTTCATCTCCTCCCCTCCCTGCTCCTCCCACCTCCCTTCTTCCCTCTATCTCGCGTCCCTTTCACCACGATTCTGCTTGCTTGCTTCCCCCTTGCTTCTTTCTGTTTTCCCGTGTACTCGCTGCCCCCCCGACCTGCCGCGCAGGCACGGAGATGGCGCAGCTGGTGTGCGGCGGCTGTCGGACTCTGCTCATGTACGTGCGGGGGGCCACCAGCGTGCAGTGCTCCTGCTGCCACACTGTCAACCTCTCCATGGAATGTGAGCTCTCGCTTCTTCCCTGCCCGCTGCCCCCTGCCTCTCGTTACATTCGCCCTCTGCAAGTCCGATCATCCCCCACACAATTCTTCCACGGGTTATTCTAGTAGTCTTGTTCCGCCTCACTCATCCAAACCTCGTCATTGTATTTTCCGCCATATTTCATCGTCGCCCCTCCCTCCCCCTGATGCCACCTCACACGCTCCCTAACCCCCATGTATGCGCATGCGCTTTTGTTCATTCATCCGTCCCCCTCCACCTAATGTCACCACACACGCTCCCCCCAACTCCGTGCCTGCTCATGCTGTGTCGTTCATTCATTCGCGTCGTCCCCTCTCCCGGTGCCTCTCTCTACTCGCTCCACCCACCCGCTGTGCACTCGCCAGCAAGTCAAGTGGCACACGTGAACTGCGGCGGCTGTGGCATGACGCTCATGTATGCATACGGGGCTCAAAGCGTCAAGTGCGCCGTCTGCCAGTTCGTCACCCAGGTAAGCCTCGTGACTCGTCCCTCTCTTCACCATCTCATCCTACCATCACACCCTCACCTTCTTGTTCGCCCTTTCACCCCAGTCTCTGACATGGTTCGCTCATCACCTACCCTCCCACCTCAGTCTCATAATTTCTCGGCTAGTGTTCAGCTGGCTCGTGCTTTTTTGAAGTTCGTGGGCCTTGATGTGGCCGTTCTGCCGGACTGCATGTGCGTCCCCCACATGCACGGCTCACATGCATGGCCCACATGCACGCCCCACACGCACGCCCACATCTCACCGTTCCTCTCATCCTGCCTGCACTCATGCACGCCTTTCATTCTGACCCGTAACCCGTACCTTCTCCACCCTGCGTCCTCACCAGGTTGGCTCTTCTCTGCGCCCTCTGCCAGTGCAACAAAGGCAGTACGCCCCGCCGCCCACACAGCCAGCACAGGTGGCGCCAGCACAGAGCACCACCAGCAGCCGCACAGTGGTGGTGGAGAACCCTATGACAATGGATGATACCGGCAAGCTGGTACCACCTTTTTCTCTTCCGCCCACTTTTAGTTAGGATAATTTGCGCTGTGAATTCCAATGTGTGTGTGTTATTTGTGTGTGTGTGTGTGTGTGTGTGTGTGTGTGTGTGTGTGTGTGTGCAGGTGTGTGTGCGTGTGTGTGTGTGTTGCATATTACTTAGCGTTCCCTGTACTGTGACCCAATTCCGCTGGTTTAGGTGCTGGGCCAATGGCCTGTCTTTCCCTCGCCCAGCATGAGTGATGCGAGTGTGTCTCTGGTTCATTACCTGATATGCTTTCTGAATTCGTATCCATGTTCTTGCTTGGCTGCAGGTGTCAAATGTTGCAGTTGGGATCTCCAGTGATAAAAAGAGCTGATGCTTTAGATTCATGTAAGCCCCTCTCCCCCCTGGTTTCCTTGCGACCGCCTTCCAATGTCATCCGCTTGAAGAAGTTTGCTCACCCTTTTCTATCACATTGCCCACCCCTCCAAACCCATTTTCTTGCCCCCTCCCTCCTCCCTTATTTGCTCTCCCTCTCTTACCTGTGCGATTGCAACTAGTGGTCAACCTCCTACCTCCTTACAAGCGTTCCCCCCCCTCCCCTCCCCCTTCCCTCCCTCCCTCCTTCTCCCCCCCTCTGCATGCCTCACTTCCTCATGTTTTTTTTGTTCCATTTCCTTTCTCCCCCACCTCGCCTCTCTCCTCTTCCGCTCCCCTTCCCACCATATCCACTTGATAAATCTCCTCAACTTCCCTCTTTGTGGCTCGCTCTTCTGACTGACAGGCCAATGGATGTGTAAGACTCTGCCACTTTTGCACTGAGCTGTACACTATGCTGGATATACTTCACCCAGCCCGCCGCTTATGCGACCTGGAGAATCAACTCGTATTTTGTAAAGCAATTGAAAAAGGGCTACAAGGCAAACCAATTCTTTCCTCGTCCACCCGACTTTTTTCATGCTCCATGATTGGGTGTCGCTTGGCTGTTCCATGGATGCATTGGAGTGGAGGGGGCTGATAAAATGGGGTAGTATGGCCACTTTTCAGGTTTATACCGTGGGTAGTATTCTGTATAAAATATATGGAACTAAAACGTTGAGGCAGTCTGCAGCGGGCACTTTGTGTTCGCTAGTCTTCGCCCTCTGCACAGCTGACCTCCACCCCCACCCAACTCAAATGATCGGGGAAAATATGCCATAGGTAACCATCTTCAGACTCGATAACGTGAATGGTAAGAAAAAAAAAACACGTCCGGTCACTTTATCGGTTTTCTGACGGGTTTGGTAAGTGGGGTCAGGGATTCAGTCACTAACAACTGGTAGAAAATTATCCGAATGGTCACGCATGAAACACAACAAAATTCCCGCTCGCGCCCAACAAATCGCTAACTTCTAAAAAACTAAAACCCAATCGGAATCGGATACGGTTTGGGACGGATCAACCCTAAACACCTGGTGAGTTACGTGTTTAGGGTTGTTTCATCCGAAAATGCATCAGGTTCCTTTTGGGTTTCATCTAATTTTGGCGGGAGTTTCATCTATCACCATTTGCGTCTTTCTGAACCAGTTGATAGTGACTGATTACGTGAAACGTTTTATCAGTCGCGTGAAAACACCCTTTGCAGTGACCGTACCCTCTATTTGTTTACTACAAATGTTATCGAGTCACCAGATGGTTACGAATAGCATATTTTTCCAAATGATCGTCCATCACTCTGCTGGGGGCATTTTACCAGTCAAAAGTAATCCTGCCCAAGGTTCTGGTTACAAGACGGGCACCTAAGAAGTTCGCGCGCACAGCAACCAACCAACCATGTGCCACGTTTTGCCGTCGGGCACGCCATTTGCCGTCACGACTCATGCGGATGGAGAACGTTACGTGCACCCTCTGATGCAGTTTCGCGAATTCCCACAAACGAACGTGGTTGGTTGTCGCTGGGACCACTGGACAGGGTGCATCACTCGCTACTGTAGTTCTTCCACTTCGGCTGCTTTGATTGGTTGGAGGTCCCCGTGCTGTCAATGAGGGGGTGCCCCAGCCTCAGCTTGTATGTGCACTCTTTGTGGCTCAAGAGGGTTCCACAAGGCGAAAACCTGTTTTCCAGTTTCACCGTTTTGAACCGCGTAAACATTCATTGGACCGCAAAGAATGTACAAGAGGAGTGCGGTACGACCTGAGAACCACTGTAGAACAGCCGGGATCTTCCACGATCGATGGGGTTACCGCTTTGTCGGTATGTTTTCGTCGCACCCGTTGTGCACGACAGCCAGGGAAGCCAGCGGGAAAGCAACATCGCACGCACGAAGACGACGAGAGAGAAACTCTCCCTCTCCCCTCAGCGAACAACTGGGTCCGAGAGCGTCGCAAGGCAAGAACAACCGCACAGCATCATGTGTAGCAACAGCATGCACCTAGCACCTGCATGTTTCGTTAGGTCAGCGCAGCACAAGCAGTGCGGGTTTTTCTGGTACACCCTGTTTCTCGCTACACTGAACTGCGGAAACACACTGAACAGTGGAACTATTCCTTGGACGTATTTGAAAAGTTTACAATATCCGTCTCTAGGAGGCGGGTGATCCGAAATTTCGTTGACCTGGGTACCCTACCGAGCCATATTAAAAGTTTAATTGACCGTCTTCAAAGGTAGCTGACCTCGTCAAACCGAACTGGTGCAAAAGTTTACTATATCGCGTAATTTGGCGCGTTGAGCCACAGGGTTCAGTATACCGGCATACACAATAGCGAGAAACAGGGTGTACTAGTCGGGAGTGGGGTGTGGTGGTGATTGATTTGGTGAAACCAAGGATGTGCAAACAAGCTGTCATTGTGTTTCCCCCGAGCAGCAACAGCGAGTCAGTGGCGCGGTGGTTAGTAATGAGCTAGTAGTGTTTCGCCTGCTTCCAGTAATGGGTGCGGACGATGCATCTCGCGACAGGTTGTGGAAGAGAAATCGGACGCTTGTTCTGGAAAGGAAGGGCGTTAGGTGGTTGTGTGTTCGTGGGGAGCAGCGGTCTTAGTAGGAGGATGGGACTACCAGAGGAAAAGGGAGTACTGGAGAGGGAAAAACGGGAACAGCGAGAGGAGCAGAGAGAAGTGAGCAGAAGCACGGGGCAGAGTGGGCTGCAAGGCAGCGAGGCGTGAGGAGCGGGGGTGTGGCATCTTGTGTTGACTGCAATCGTTCTGGCATTCGCGAGTTTTCTTAGTAACAACAGGCTCGTTTCGTTTCGTTTCGCGAGCATTTAGCGCGGATTAAGTTGTTTTTCACAACCTAGCAGGATATATTACTGACGACTGACCGACGATTTTTCGCAGTCATAACAGCGAAAAGCCTTTCTCGCACTAGGAGACTGTACAGTAGCTATAGCAGCAGGAAGAGAAAAGAACGATTTAGTGCGAGTCGTCCAGAAGCGACAATGTCGTACGATGTCGCATCCGACGCTGCGTCCGTCGCATGGACGGGCCTCGGATCAACTTCCGCCACTCACACTCCTTCCGCAACCCCCTCCGCACTCTCCGCCTCCGCCGTCTCCCCCGTTTCCGCCGCCGCTCTCCCTGCGTCAGCACAGCAGCAGCAGCAGCAGCAGCGTCCCGCCACCCCCCACCGGCTCACGTGGAGCGATCAAGTGATTGCGCTTGAAGGGGAGGCGGGGGGGGAACAAAACGCGGAGAGCGGAGGCGCGGGGGCCGCAGACGGCGAGCGCGGGGCTGGCATCAGGGGAGGCGGTATGGGAGGCGGAACCGGGGGAAAGACGGCAGTGTGGGGGCTGTCGAAGCAGGACGCGCTGAGGGCGATTCTGGGGGAACACGGCGCGGAGGCGTTCGGAATGGGGGGAGGAGCAGGGGGAAAGAACGAAGGGCGTGATAGCGGTAAGGCGGACAACGAGGTGGTGATTTCCGATGGCGCGGGCGGCATGGGCGCAGCAGAAGGCGGGAAAGGGGGGGACTGGCGGGGAAACGGTAGTGGTCGCGGGCTGGTCGACAGGCGCAATGACGTGGACGATGATGACGTGGACAGCGAGGACGATGACACGGACGACGACGAGGAGGGGGGCGGCAAGGGTCGGCGGCGGCGGCGGCGGGGAGGGGGTGGGGGGCGGCATGGCGGCTTCCGGTCGCACGGCATGTGGTCGGAGCGCCTGCACTCCGACGGGGACGACTCGTTCGACGACGCGGATGATGACAATAGCAGCGGCAGCGGCGGCGGCGGAGGGCGGGGCGGGGGCGGCGGGGGCATGTCCGGGGGAGGCGCGCGGCAGCGCGACAGGGTGTGGCCGCTGCAGCTGCACATGCGCGAGTCGTCGTTGCTGGCGCAACTGATCCTCGTGCTGCTGCTCGGCGCGCTGCTGTTCGGCGTGGGTGTGGCGACGAACGCGGTGTTCTGGATGGGCGCGTCCGTGCCCGCGCCCATCTGGTTCCCCGCCGGCTTCGCGCTCTTCGCCGTCACGGTACGCGCGCGCCCCTGGCCGTGACGCCTTCATTCCCCACGCCCACGCGTAACACAACGCACGCATGCTCCCCTGGCCTCTATTCCACAGCCCTTCCCCCTTTTTCCCCACCATTCCTAACCCTTTCCCACCCCCCTTCTCCCCACCTCCCCCGCCCGCCAGTAATCCACTTATGCCCTCACCTTCCCACCTTGTCTTCATCACTTTCTCCCTCCCCCTTTCCTCCTCCTTCATCCACCACCCCTCTCCCTCGCCTCCCCCCTCCTCCTTCCTCCCTTGATCAACCCCTCCGGTCCGCGAAACTCTTCCCCCTTCCCCTTCGCACCCCCTTCCCCGCACGCGCAGGCGGCGGGACATCGCGTGTTCGTGGGCAACTTCCTCGGCTATCTCGCGTTCGCGTTTTATTTCCGCCTCGTGCGCCTCTCCATGCCCGCCTCCGCCGCCTCCGCCACCGGCGCGCTGCTCGACGCGCTCTGCGCCACGCTCGGCACGCACGCGCTCGCGCTCATCCTCGCGCGCATCTTCCGCGCGCACCGCCGCCACCGCACGCCCCTAGACTGCACCCCCAACGTCTTCCGCTTCTGCTCGCTCGTCCTCCTCGTCCCCCTCCTCTTCCAAGGCCTCCAAACGCTCCTCTCCGCGCTCGCGCAAGCGGATCCCCCGCCGCCCCCGGACAGCCGTGTGCAGTCCTGGCTGTTCCGCGCCGTCGCGGACGGAATCGGCGTGCTCGTCGTCGTTCCGCTATTCGTCCAGATCTCCGTGACCTCCGCGGGGAGAGGGTCCGACACGTGGCAGCGAAACCAGTGGGAGCAGCAGCGCATGCAGCAGCAGCAGGTGCGGTGGTGGCTGCCGTGGTGCCTCCCGCCCTGCGTGGACTATTTGATCCAGTCGTGGCGCATGATCGCGTTTGTCGCGCTGAACGCGGGCGTGTGCGCGGTGCTCTTCGGGGGTTTCGCGCCAGAGTCGTTCACTGTGTCGCTTATGTACACGCTGTTCCCCGGGATCGCGTGGGCGGCGTTCCAGTACAATCGGCGCGGAGTGAACCTCGTCGCGCTGCTGCTCGCGCTTCTGGGGGGAGTCACCGCCGCGCATGGGCGCGGGCCGCTGGCGCGCGCGGATGCCGTGGCCACCATGGTGCAGGTGCGCGGGGAAGGGGGGGGGAAGTGGGGGGTAAAAGAGAGGGGAGAGGGGATGCGGATGCCGTGGCCACCATGGTGCAGGTGCGCGGGGAAGGGGGCGCGGGGGAGGGAAGGGAAGGGAAGGGAAGGGAAGGGAAGAGGGGAGGGGGAAGTGGGATATGGGAAGAGCGGGGGATAAGGGAGAGAGTGGGAAAGGTGGAGAGGGATGGAAATATGGAGTAAAAGGGAATTACGTTTGTGGAGGGGGATTGGTTGTGTATGTAGAGTGCATGCGGGGAAAGGGGAAGGTGAAGGTGGAAGGGAAGGGGGGTGTGAAGTGGGTATTGCAGTGCAGTGCATCAGGTGGAAGCAGGTGGAAGCAGGTGGAAGCAGGTGGAAGCAGGTGGGAGCAGGTGGAAGCAGGTGGAAGCAGGTGGAAGCAGGTGGCATCACATTGCACGTTGATGGGGGGACTTGGCTTGGGAAGGGTGGGCGAGGGCGGGTTGTACATGGGAAGGCTCACTGGGGGGGAGCCGGAAGGCAGGGGTGATGTGCTTGGAGGGGTGTAGGAAGGGCGAGGGAGGGAGGGAGGGGAGGGAGGGAGGGAGGGAGGGAGGGAGGGAGGGAGGGAGGGAGGGAGGGAGGGAGGGAGGGAGGGAGGGAGGGAGGGAGGGAGGGAGGGAGGGAGGGAGGGAGGGAGGGAGGGAGGGAGGGAGGGAGGGAGGGAGGGAGGGAGGGAGGGAGGGAGGGAGGGAGGGAGGGAGGGAGGGAGGGAGGGAGGGAGGGAGGGAGGGAGGGAGGGAGGGAGGGAGGGAGGGAGGGAGGGAGGGAGGGAGGGAGGGAGGGAAAGAGGAGTGGAGCCTTGGAGGACACGCACCGAGGGCGCAGGGCATGCCGAGAGTGGCGACACCGGTGTGCAGCACAGCGAGCAGGCGGTGGAGGGACGGTGGAGGGGTGTTAGAGGAGCCGCCCCCAGCGCCTCTGTCGTGTAACGCCTCAAAAGTCGCTTCAACCTCTCCCTTTTTCCCCCTCCCCTCCTCCCTCCCCACGCCCTCCAGGTGCAACTGTTCGCAGCAGTGGATGGAAGCCATAGCAGCGCTAGCCTTAGCAGCAGCAGTGCGGGCAATTAAGCATCTGAGGCTGCTGAACGCCAGAAAAGCCTCTTCCCCCATCCTTCCTCCTTTCCCCATCCGTCCCCCCTTCCCATGCCCCTCCCACTCCCACTCCAGGTGCAACTGTTCGCAGCAGTGGAAGCCATGGCAGCACTGGCCCTAGCAGCAGCAGTGCGGGAGCTGCGGCTGCTGAACGCCTCAAAAGCACTTTTCCCCTCTTCCCCCAACCTACCCCCTCCCCATTCCCCTCCCCATCCACCCTTCCCATTTCCCCCCTCTATCCCCCCTCTATTCCCCCTTTCTCCCACGCCCTCCAGGTGCAACTGTTCGCAGCAGTGGAGGCCATGGCAGCGCTGGCCCTAGCAGCAGCAGTGCGGGACACGAAGCGGCTGCGCAGGGAGCTGCGGCTGCTGAACGCGTCGCTGGAGGAGGAGGTGGTGCGGCGCACGCAGGAGATCCGGCGGTACAACGAGCAGCTGCAGATGAGCCAACAGCACGCCGAAGAGGCCAGCCGCGCCAAGACGGAATTCCTGGCCAACATGAGCCACGAGATCCGGTGAGATGCGAGGGTGGGGCGTGGTGCGGTGTGATGCGGTGGGATGGGGTGTGAGAGGCGCTTGTAGGGTGCGGTGGGGTTAGGTTTGAGGTGGAAATGGGTGAGGGGGTGGTGACTGGGTAGGTTGGCTATTGGCTTTGAGGAATACGCAGGAGATCCGGCGGTACAACGAGCAGCTCCAGATGAGCCAGCAGCACGCCGAGGAGGCCAGCCGCGCCAAGACGGAGTTCCTTGCGAACATGAGCCATGAGATCCGGTGAGGGGGGCGCGGGGTGCGGTGCGGTGCGGTGGGGTGGGGTGGGGTATGGGTAAGGTGGTGGGGGGTTTGAAACGCCGAGGAGGCCAGCCGTGCTAAGACGGAGTTTCTGGCGAATATGAGCCACAAGATCCGGTGAGACGCTAGGGTGGGGTGAGGTGCGTTTTGATGCGGTGGTGTGGGGTACGGGTTGGGGGAGAAACGGGTAACAGAAATCGACCCCTATTCAATCCATCGTTGTTCAGTCGACTCAAAAGTCTCCTCTCTCTCTCCCCATCTCACCCCTTCCGCCTCCCCTCCCCCCACCTCCCTCCCACCTCCCCCCACACCCGCCCCGGCACACACACACCCTCCCGCTCGCCCCCAGCACGCCCATCCACGGCATCATCGGCATGACAGCTCTGGCTAGAACACCCTCCAGTCCCTCCGAGCCATCCCACCCCATCCCTTCACCCCATCTCCTCATTCCCCCCGTCCCATCCCCCTCTTCCCCCCTTGTCCCGCAACCCCCGCCCCCAGCACGCCCATCCACGGCATCATCGGCATGACAGCACTCGCTCTCGACGCACTCGAGTCCATCCACTCCTCCCCCACCACCGCATGGGGCACCGACCAGCAGCAGCAGCAGCAGCAGCAGCAGCTACCACAGGACGAGCAGCAGGGGCAGGGGGAGGTGGTGGCGGAGGTGAGGGAGCACCTGATGATCGTGGCGCAGTCTGCCGAGTGTCTTCTGGGCATAGTCCTCACCTCACACCCTTTCGCTCCCCACCCCCCCCCCCCCCCTCCCCTCTTCCCCCCCCCCCTCTTCCCCCCCCCCCCCCCCCCCCCCATCTTTCCCCCCGCCTGCAGCACGCCCATCCACGGCATCATTGGCATGACAGCACTCGCTCTCGACGCCCTCGAGTCCATCCACTCCTCCCCCACCACCGCATGGGGCACCGACCAGCACAACCAGCAGCAGCTATTACAGGACCAGCTTCACGAGCAGCAGGGGCAGGGGCAGGGGGAGGTGGTGGCGGAGGTGAGGGAGCATCTGATGATCGTGGCGCAGTCTGCGGAGTGTCTGCTGGGCATCGCCAACACGGTTCTGGACCTGGCAAGGATCGAGGCGGGGCAGCTGGAGCTGCTCAAAGTGCCGTTTGCCATCCGGGATGTGGTGGTTAGCACCATGAAGATGCTGCAGGTGAGAGAAGAGGGGGGAGGGAAGGGAGGGAGGGATGGGGAGGGAGGCGTTTCAGCAACCCCAGCCACCCGGAACGCGGTTGTGTGATGTAGGTGGGGTGTGGTGGGGGTGGTGAGCTGTGAGCAGCAGCATGCGCGGAGTGTCTGCTGGGCATCACATCACCAACACGGTGCTGCCATCAGGGATGTGGTGGGCACTGGGGAGGAGGACTCAGCACCAGGAAGAGGACGTCCTCTTTTTTGAGTCTTCCTCATCCCCGCTCCTACTCTTCCTTCACACCCCCGCCACCCGCCCCCCTCCTTCCCCCACTTTCCCCCCTCCCCTCCCCCCTCGGCCAGGTGCGAGCGGTGCAGAAGCAACTGGACTGGACTTCCGGCGGGAGGTGGGCGAGGACGTGCCGAGACCCACCCACAAGAGCGCCGCCATGCACAACCCAGCTTCTCCTTCCCCTTTTCGCCCTTCCCCCACTCCCCCCCCCCCCCTTCTCGCCCAGGTGCGCACGGTGCAGAAGCAGCTGGACTTCTCATGGGAGGTGGACGAGGACGTGCCCGTGGAGCTGCTGTGGGGTGTGCAGTGCTCAGTGCAGCCCGTCCTTGTGCTTCGTGTAATGAGGTCACTTTTGAGAATATCCTGGGTCTCAAAAATAACCTCATTACACCCAGTGCACCCAGTGCTTGTGCTTCCCCCAATTTCCCACTCCCATTTCCCCCGTGCCCCTCACCAGGTGCGAGCGGTGCAGAAGCAGCTGGACTTCTCATGGGAGGTGGACGAGGACGTGCCCGTGGAGCTGCTGGGCGATGCTGCGCGCCTGCAGCAGATCATCATCAACCTCGGTGCGTGCTCTGCTGCCGCTGCTTGCTCGCTCTCTCCCTGCTCTCTCGCCCGCTCGGGTCTGGGCAGTCTCAATGCACACCACCTCGCACACGGCACTGCCGATGCATGCATCATGTCAACGTGTTTTGAGATTTCTTAAAAAGCTGACACATAGCTTGTCAATACTTGGCATGTCGCATCAGTGTGGCTATTGCTTGCTTGCTTGCCTCCTCCAGTTTTTGAGTCGACTCAAAAGCTTGGCTATTCCTAGCCTACTCCAGTTCAGCCCATGTGTTTCTCACCCTTTCAACCATTCCTCCTCAAATCCTCCACCCTCCTCCCCCCTCACCTCCCCCCATCTCCCCTCTTCCGTATATTCCCCCCCTTCCTCCCCCCTCCCTTCCTTTTCCCCCCTCTCTTTCTCGCCCCCCGCCAGTTGGCAATGCCATAAAGTTCACGTCAGCGGGCTCTGTGTCGCTCACCATCCGCCTCTTTGCTCGCCCGCGCCGCCAGAAGGCCTACACCACGTGCTTTGCCCCGCGCCCCCAGCGCCACGCCACGCTCTCCTTTGCTGCCCCGAGCTTCGCCGTTGGTAGGGGAGGTGGCGGCGTGGGTGCTGCTGCTGCTGCTGCTGCCGCTGCTGGTTCTGGTGGTGGAGTTTCCAGTGCAGCGGCGGGAGCAGACGGGACTGGGGCTGATGGGGCAGCAGCAGGGGGAGCTGCTGCTGCTGCAGATGATGCGGGTGGGGGGGCAGGTGGGGGGGGTAAGAACAGGCACACACGCACATCATCGGGTACTGACTGGAATGCCTCGGGTCTGTCGCGTATATTTATGTCCACGCCCTTCCAGCGCCCCCCAAACGCCACGCCTGGGCCGCCCGCTGCTCCTCCTGCTGCTGCTGCTGTCCGCGCTGGTGATGCTGCTGGTGATGGTGCGGATGGTGCGGATGGTGTGGTTGTGGGGGGGAGTGAAGGCGGACGGGCAAATGCGTTTGAATCCGCTGTTGCAGCAGCAGCAGCAGGAATGGAAAAGGAAACTGGTAAGGAGGGCCCAACAGGAGGGGAGGCAGCAGCAGCAGCAGCAGCAGCGGCGGCGGCAACAGCAACCCCTGCTGCTGCTGCTGCTGCTAGCAGTACTGGTACAGGCGGCAGGTTCAGAGGCATCACCTTAGCCCTATCAAATCTATCCGAGAGTTTCAACTCTACCAGACTCACAGGGATACAATCAGCAGGTTTTTCCGCTGACGCTCCTGCTCCTGCCACTGCCACTGCCACTGCCACTCCTGCTTCTTCCTCCTCCGCTGCCGCTGCAGCAGCAGCAGCTGCTGCACGCCGCCCGCTCCCCACCCCCCGCACCCCTGCCACGCCCGCCGTCCCGAACACACCTATGGCCACTCCTCAATCGGCCCGTACTGCTGCCCGCCTGCCCCCCCTGTCCTCTCTGTACCGGTCCTGGAGCCTAGAGCCTCAGCGTCAGCTCAACTTGATGGCGCAGAGAGGGGGCCGAGGGGGCGCTGCTGGGGCTCTGGATGCGAGTGCTGGGGGAGGTGCACGGGGAGGGGGAGGGGGAGCGGGAGCGGGAGGGGCAGGGGGAGAAGGATCACGGCTGAGAGAAGCGGGGAGAGGCGGTGCTGGGGATGCGGAAGCAGGGGCTTGTGGAGAGGATGGTGGGGATTTGGAGCAGGGAGGAGGAGGGGGAGGAAGAGGAGGAGGGGGAGGAGGAGGAGGAGGTGGTGGTGGTGGTGGTGAGATTCGACCCACGCGCATGGCCTCTACCTCTGACTCTGTCTCTGCCTCTGCCTCTTCCTCCCTTCGATGGGCCATACCCATGTCTCTTTTCGGCCGGGACGACAAGCACGGGGGCAGTGAGAGGGGCCTGGGAAGAGAGGGCGAGGAAGGAGAGAGAGGAGGAGGAGAGGAAGGGGGAGAAGGGAGAAGAGGGGGAGGGTTAGGGGGCAGGGGAGCCAGTAGTTTCACTGCTGGCTCTGGTGGTGCTGGTGCTGCTGCTGCGGCGGCGGCGGCAGTGGGAGGTGGGAGTGTGGGTGCAGGAGGAGTGGCAGCAGGAGCAGGAGCGGCAGCAGCAGGAGGAGCAGGAGCAGGAGCAGGAGGTAAGAGGTTGGGCAGAGCAGGTGGAGGGTCAGCAGGGCCTATTAGCTTCGCTTCCTGGTGGCCTCTTGTCACCTCAACTTCCGCTTCTTCTGCTTCTGTTGCTGCCGGCACTGCCTCCACTAGCGGTGCTGGTGGTGCAGCAGCAAGCGGGCAGAGCAGTGGATTGGATATAGAGATGGGAATGGGCTCGGATCAGCAGCAGCAGCAGCAGCAACAGCAGCAACAGGCACAACTACCCACCCCGTTTGCCCGCAGCAGCAGCTCCAACGCGCTAGACACATGGGGCGCGTCCTCCTCCTCCCTCGCCTTCCCTTCCCCGCCCGCAACCTCCTCCTCTGCATCCTCCACCTTCCTCCCCTCCCAACCCCTCCTCCCATCAGGCACCTCTTCCTCCTCTCCTCGCTTCCTCCCTCTCTCTTCCACCATGACTGCTGGTCCTGGTCCTGGTCCTCTCCCTTCGCACTACTCTCCCTCGCCTGCTGCCTCTGCTGCTTCTGCTGCTGCTGGGGGTTCGGTTGGGACTGGTGCGGGGGTTGGAAGCAGTGGGGGTAGGTTTGGGGAAGGGGGCAAGGGTGCGGCTGGGGACTGGGGAAAGGAGCGAGGGGGCCGGAGGGGTGGGGGGAAGGGAGGAATGGCGGGGTTGTTGCGTAGTAGCGGTGGCAGTGGCAGTGTGGCGGGATTGCTGTTAAAGGAGGAGGAGCGGCAGAGGCGGAAGGTGAGGAGGAGCGCGATGAGCGATGGGGGAGAGCTGTTAAGTATCGCTGCTGATGAGATCAGCCAAGAGGAGATGACGGGGACGGGAGGAGCGGGGGGTATGGGGAAGGTGGGGAGCGTGGGGAGTGGAGCAGCAGCGGCAGGGGGAGGCGCCGGTGGGTTGGTGAGAGCAGCAGCAGGAGGGGCGGCGGCAGGAGCTGGGGCGAGTGGGGAGGGAGACGGGGAGAGGGGAGGCGGGGAGGGGGGAGGAGGGAAAGGGGGAGGAAGGGGAAGTGGTGGGGCAACAGCAGGGGGAGGAGGGGGAGGTACGTGGCTGTCAGGTGCTAAGGGAATGTGGAGTGTGAGCTCTAGCGCAGGGGGAAGCAGCATTGGTGGGGGCAGCGGCGGCGGCGGTGGTGCTGCTGTTGGTGGTGCTGCCACTGGTGCTGCCGCTGGTTCTGCTGGTGCTGGTGCTGAAGCTGCTGCTGGTAGCAGCGGTGGTGGCGGTGATGGGAGGGGAAGCAGTGGCAAGGGCGGGGTAAACGAGAGGTGGGTGATCTCTAGAACACACTCTTTGGATACAGCCAAGGTGAGGCGCGGACTCAAGGGAATTGACCTCATTGGTAATGTGGGAG